AATTTAATAAATTTTTTATAACATATATGATGCTTTTTATAATTAGTTATACAAAATTAGTATAGTTTAATATTATAATAATATAATATTATAATTAGTATAATTAGTTGAGTAATAAACGTAAACATATAAATATAATCCAACAAATGTAAATATAGTTTGTGCAACTATATTCTTAGAGAAAAATATCTTCCTTTTTATTTCATTCTGTTACAATCAAATTTATTTTCTCTGCAATATATTCATTGCAAATTTCAATGAATAAAAATAAATTATCATAGTATATGCTTTAAAAAAGAAATGATGATGTGTAGGTTTATGAAAATTTAATAAACAATTAAAACAAAGCATTTATTATCATTTTTACAAAAGGATTCAACAAATAATAACAAAAACTGTCTGTCAAAAATTTACAATATTTTTATTAACTTGCAGTTGGCATATAACAAAGCTCACATAAAAATAATTTACCTAAAAATAAATTATACTCTGAATAATCATGAAATACGCTTGCTTGATACAGTAAGCAAATATAAAAATTTAGGCCTAAATCAAATGACCTCAAAGGAATCATACCTCAGTCTCAAAAAACCAAAATTATAACAAGCAAATCCACAGTAAAATTAAAATTTAGAGCTAAATAATAACCAACACCTAAAAATAAAACTTGGATTTCATTGGTTTTAATTTATTTTAGTAAGATTGAGGAAAATAAGAGTTTATGATGTCGAATACAATAGAATTTTAGTGACTGGCGTAATATATATATATAGGATAGAATATAACCACCAAACAAAGATTTCTTACAAAATATCTTTTAAATAAAATAAATGTAAAAATCTTTTATATATTATATAAATATATTTATATATCTCTTATTTGCTGGAATGTGATAAACCAAAACTCGACATTTTTTAGGAGATGCATTTGAAGTTTAAACTTTGTGTAAATTTCAGTCAATGGATTAGTTATCGGTGGACAGTCCCTTCACGAGTTATTCTTTATATTCATACTTATTTTACATTTACTTAAAAATCATGAATACCAGATTAATATTGGAAGAGAGCCAGCATAAAATATTGCAATAGAATTTTAACCAAATGCATTAGGAAGGTCATGTGAGTGGGGACCCAAGAGATAGTCCCTTCTTCTCTTGAGGACATAACTAATTATTAAAGGCAATTTGGGACTACAGTCTGCAGAAATATACATCCTATTCCAATAATTTATTTCCCCATTAAGTAAGATTTTATAATCCTTTAAAATTATCATGATATAGTCTAAATTTTATTGGACCTCCAGGTTGGGAGAACAGTACACTGACACTCGCACAGTACACTATACTCACCCCCACATTAAACACTGAAGACAATAACATTACACACATTAGGGTCACTTCCACTGGTAGGTAGCCACCCCAGATGGGGGAGTGAGTCAGGATACTCTGAGGAGGCTGTCCCTCCACCTGAGAATCCCTTTATTATAATTATAATGAAGATTTCTCTTTAATTACTCCAGTATAGTAAAGTACATAAAAAATAAAGATAAACAATTAACAAAAAGTAATAAATCATAAAAATAAGCTTTTTGCTGCTAAGCTTTGCTTTACTTGAATTACTTGAATAAAACTAAATATCTTTAAAAATAGTCATTGTTTTATATATTAAAAAAGACCTACATGCACAAAAACTGTATTATATTATATATCCATACATACACTGTTGTAAACATGTATGCAGTATTGTTATCTATACTACTTAAGGCACACTAAATCAATCATTGCACTAGTTTAAGACACATTTATATCACAAATATAAAGACTGAACAATTTTTATAAATACTTTAGGAAAAATTTATAACAAAAAATATAAAACTATTCACTAAATAAAAAAACAAATTAATAATTAATCAAATATTTCTTCACAATTAAAACAAACAATAATAATAGACAACAAAATAGATTATTTTAATGAGTATCAATATACACTTCTAATTTTTTTTATTTAGCCCGAAACAAAAAAAATAATAATCATTCATTACCATTAACCCTCGACCAGGCACAACTCATCTGTAAGATTAAATTTCTATAAAGATTAGAAGGGAAAATCAATAACCAGAACTCTTAACATAATAACGGTTAATTTGAGTTTTAAAATAACATTATAATAACCTAATTGTAAAAAAAGAGTTCAGCAAAAAAAATATATATATTTTTAAGAAACAATTAAAATAGGAAACTTTCCCCATTTTTGAAAAACTCAAGCCTTATGTGTATAAAAAAATTAGGTACTCGTTCTCCAAATAAAGTGTGCCCAACTGAAGATTGGGCTGATGAATAGCTGATGACTGGTTTTTACTAAATGAAATTATTTTTGTACAATGGAATAATAAACTATGAACCATCAATATATTTACCTACAAGATTTTGTCCCAATACTCAAAACAAACCACTACCATACTCCAAATCAAAAATGTTCCTAAAGTACATTGAACAAAGAGCAAATTGAAATAAGCAATAAAAAAGTTTTTAAGACACAAGATAAATCAACAATAAAATAACATTTTTCGGATTCAGACACAAAAATTGTAACTAATAATGATTTCAAAAACAATTTTTTATCAACTACTATAATTTATTGAGTTTGACAGTCAAAGAATTAAAAGTTAATTTTTGAAATACTGCAATTATTATTTTCTTGTTTATGTCTAACTAAAGCATTGCTTTATGTAACATCTATTACTTATTGTAAAATATTCTGAACACATCAATAATTAATGAACTTAAAATATAGATAGACAATAAAGATTGGCCATTTTTTTGTTCACATGGATTTTTGTTCACATTTTTTTGTTCACATGGTTTAAATATGCTATTTTTATTTTATTAATTTTGTTTTTACTGGTCAAAATATATTAAAAAAAGCAAGAGATACAAGCCTACCAAAACCCTTGCTCACTGCCATATGCACGACCTTATACCAAATACTAATAATACAAGCAATACTAATACTTCCAACCATACCAAACACTTCATTTTACTTAGATTTTATCTAGTGATTAAATAGTTCACACCCACATAAACATCTCTAAACACAAGAAATTCATAAATAAGAAACAAGTATTACAATATGAAGAATAAATTAATTTTAAATAGTAACTATACACTTATCCCTCAACATAACACGCGAGACTGCATAAGTTACAAACTAAAATAATAAACAGCAACAAATAACCGTATAATTTGTAAAAAAAAATTTTAAAAAGATAATCTTGTCATTTATTAATTATCTTTTTTATCTGGGCAAGCAATTGGCAAACTACTCTAAATTTTTGGTGAGACCTAATAAATTTTGAGATTTTATAAACTAGGTGGCAGTAATTTTTATAGAGCATCTGGTTACGTATGCCATTCAAAATATATATTGTGGATAGGTCAAAGTAATAGACAATAACAAAACTTATGACTTTATATTACAATTTGTGAAACAGTCAATATTTGGTAAGAATACTGACTGTGGTGGTTGAGTTTTCTTTTATTAAAATAAGTTTTCTTGTTGGGACATTTATCTTTACTCATCGCACTCACCCAAACAACTTCTACAGCAATGTAACGTTTTACAAAATATTAAATTTTTATAAAATAATTATTTGATTCATAATTTGGAATCTTCTCAAAAAAGAGTCCACATAAAATTTGTTATAATGGATTCCTCCATTTCTATGATTATATAATGAAACTGGTCATACAAATGTAACCAGTATTCTGTTCATAAACAATATTCAATATGTTACTTATAACATAATGTCTACATAATTCTTTATATCACACTACATATATATATTGTTAAATATCTTAGTATACTTTACAAGTTGTAATGCACTAACATAGGTCTGAATCCCTATATTTCAATGGGATTTCATACACAATCCAGAAAAAAAAATACTTGAATGTCTCTGGATGGTAAAATGTTTAAAAAAAAAATATTAACAACTAATACTTAACTATCCATTTTAATCAGAAAGAAAAAAGTTACCTTCACTTAATATATACATGTATGTATGTATATATATATATATATATATATATATATATATATATATATATATATATATATATATATATATATATATAAGTTTTCGCTGTATCCTGAGTTACACAATTAATTTGTTCCATGAAAGTCAAAACCATTGAAATTATTTAACTAGATAACAAGAAACGATGCCACTTTAAAATATGAAAAGATATTTTGACTTAGAATAAAACTGTATATCAAGAGATACCTCTAAAAGGTCAAATTTTGAAATTTATTATTCATTAAAATTATTGTCTTTGATTTTTTTTTTTTCGATTGCAAAGGTTATTGTTCTTAAATAATCTTTATAATATAAGCATGACTAATGGGAAGATGTGATTTCAAATATAATATGAATAGTAAGTTTTACTTAATTATGAATAGGTTAAGTAGAAATAATAAACTACACAGCACTTAATAGCGAATGGACAAAAACTATCAAAACACAACAGAATATAAATAGAAATATAACCACTTAGCATTTAAAAAAAAAATGATAAGATTCTTATACTTGAGGTTTATATTAGGTGGTATTGTAACTTAATTAATGGAATGTAATGTTTTAAGAATAGGACCTTACTAAACTCAAATAGTGATATAATAATTATGAAAAAAATAAATAATTAATAAATGAAACTAAAATCTACCTATACCTTGTTTCCATAGAAATGAACTAATAGTATAAAATAATAAAGCAATAACTTAAGATTACCATATTATTTTTTTAATATATTTGAGTTATAATTAAATTATTTCATGTTTCCTTAATATCATTCAATTAATACTAGCGTACTTAGAAATAATATTTGCTAATAAGGTTGTGAAATATTATAAAATGCACTTCTAATTAAATCTGAACAAACTTTTAGAGAAGGAAAGTATTGAAAACATTAACTAAAGTTTAACAACACTTAAAGAAATACAGAAGCATGAATTTCACTTATCAATTGCTAAAACCTGGCCTTATTACGGGAATGCTCCAATACCTCCAGCAATGTCATAAACTAAACGACAAACTCTAGTTGCTAACTCATCAGCAGCTTCTTGGCTCTCGGCTTCAGCATAAATCCGCACAATGTCTTCAGTACCTGATGGCCTTGAAAAAAGAGTAATTTTTATATAACAATAAATTGAATGATTATTAAATGTGAAAAATCTAAAATAATAATTTATATACTAATGTTTCATTTCAATTAAATCATCAGCCAATTATGTTTGAGTAGGAGAACGAGTATGATTGCTATTTCTTATTTTTTATTAGAAACTTACCTAACAAAACTTCTGCCTGATGGATAGTCCTTAACAATTTTATCAATCGCTTCTTGTAAACCTTCTGGGCTGGTGCATTTTCTGTCAGCATCCGCTGTTTTAATCGTATTCCTATCCTGAAAAGGAATGAGATTATGTTTTTTAATAAATCTGAAATAACAAGTTTTCCTAATTACAAAATCTTAAACTATTAATAAGGTATACGTAATAGAGGATTTTTCTAGCTTTCTTGGAATAAAATAAGGAAAAGAAACCCTTTTTTCTATGCTTTATATACTTGATGATGTCACACTTCCAATAACAGAATGCTCTGGTAACCATTCAACAGTAACTTTACTGCGCCAAGCAAGATTATTTAGGTTTACAGATGTCTAGCATTACAGCATTTGATCTTGCAGAGTGCTCCCATTGCTGCCTGATTGTCAGTGTAAATAATGGTCCAATTTCTTTTCAGCCCATCTTGCAGCAATGTGGAAGCACAATGATAAATCACTAACACTTCCAAATAAAAAGTATTTCACTTATATTTGTCAAGAGGAATAGATATGCCTTCATTAAACTTAATTTCCTCCACAAGCTGGCTCCTCTCTCTCAGTAGTAAGCAATTAATAACATTGTTTGGTCATTGTTCCCTATAAGTGAGAAAAGTGGTATAACATACAGAGTGCATGGCAAGCACCCCATTCATCCTCCTCAATCCATTGAAATAGTTTCTAGTGTCCTTCATAAGTTTAGATTTTAAAGCACAAAGTTAAGTTCACTACCCTCTAGGTATTTTTTTAGAGGCTGTGCTTCTATCTCTGCATGCAAAAGAGAGATGTCTAACATTACTTCCATAGCAACTGTTAGAGTAATTTTCACTGCACCTGTGTTATTATATAGGCCAAACTTTTAACTTTATCAAGAAGTATTTTATTGGAACTGACATTTGCACTGTACCAACAGAGTATGTTGAATATAACATAAGTTTGATATGTTGAATATAACATAGGTATGATAGCTGTAATATAAAGCTAATACACATCATGTGCTTTTAGTTCCCAAACTTTCTCTGTGGCACTTTTACAGGCTCATAAACATTTGAGAGCTACAAAGTAATAGTGCATATTTGATTTTGAAAACGTAAAAATATTGAGACTCAATACAAATCTCACAATGAAAAGAAATATTTCTAAACAATTTAAAGAAATTAAACACCAGATATAACAAAACTTACCGTAATTGTTACTTTTGAAAGGCGATTTGGTAAATTAGCATAGACAGAAAACCAATCTTGAATACTCCAACCTCGAAAGTATAACACTGTCTCTACCAAGAACATATCTGAAATAGCATCGCCTACAGTTGAATTGATCAATTCAGTCAACTGCTTTAAACGGATTACCATTTGTCGCTTGCTGTCAGGTAACCTAAACGTCCATAAAGAATACTTAACAAAAATAATTAAAAAGGCAAACTCAATTAGCATTTACAAAAAAAAAAATATAAAATAATCTATAAGGAATGAAATTAACATCAACACCTTAAAAATCAATAATAATATTAAATCACATCTGCAATCAAAGAGGATTTGGATTGATAGAGATAATAAGTCTGATTTTTTATTATTCTAGTTTGTCTACCAAAACATTTATAAGGAATTTCTTCACTTGATCAAGGTAACTGTTGGAAGAAAATAAAACAGAAACATTTATACTCTATTTATTTATACCCTTGTGCCTTTTATTACAAGGAGCAAACGATGCATTCTGCGTTCTGTAGCCACCTAAGTTCTAATATTAATTCATCCTTATTCAGATAAATATCATGTTTTATGCTTTATTTATGAAAAACCTTCAAGCAGTTGTTGAAATGTAAGTGATATTTCATACCACTGACTGAATCATGTTAGCAATGATCAACCAGCATTTTTTGCATTTAATCTTGCTTTTATTTGTTCTTAAATTTGATTTTTAAGATGTTGTAGAAGAGGTATGAATTAAACCACAACCTGCCATGATTATTTGTGCAGCTCTTTAAAGATTTTACATTGTGACTTTTAAATATAAGTCCAAAAAAATTTTAAATGAGGTTTGAAATATTTGGTTAAGAACACTTTTTGGAAGCATCTATGTTTGCAAATAATTATTTTCTGAAATGAAAATAATTGAAAGCAATAACCAATCCAAATTTTTTTTTCTATTCATGAAATTTACAACTGTATACAAATAATTCAGCAAGTGTGATACACAGAAATACAATGGCATGAAAAGACTTGAAGAAAATCTACCCATTGGTAGCACTCTAATCCAATCTAGATTGCTTTAGAAAAGCTACATGCAAGTTGCTGCATTGTCTGTATCTGAAAATATAGACCAATCCTCTGCTAAGAAGCAATGAAAAATTTCTAATGAGATTCTTTTCTACATGTATCTTTCATTTTTCTTTTTTTTTTTTTTAGAGGCAACAATATTAATTTCTGTAATCACTTATAGGTGTTGTTTTGTTTTTCAGTCTTATCATAAGTTCCTTACATGCTATCCCTACAAAATATTTTTTGTAATATAAGTTAGGCTATTGTAGAGCCAAGATATTTTGATATGCACTTCCTATAATATTTAGATCCCCAAAAACATCACAAGGGTTTCATTTTATTCATATTTATTAATACCTAGTTTTTCGAATAGCCCAGCATTGAATTTAATTCAATAATTTCACACCATTACACAAGAAAAACTCATCAGCATAGCTAAGAACGAGTAAATTATCACAAAAAATCAAAGCTCTTTAAAGGAAAATTATCTTTCTTAAGATAAGATAATTTATGTTATTTTTTATGCTCTTCATTTCTTGTGATTTTTTATGATCCTATTTATGTTACTAAAACATTATATTTAAATTGCATTAATAAGAATTTTACAAAATACCTCTCATCTGCTGCAGCCTGAGTAATAAGATTTCTAGCATTATTACTGAAGAGAACTGTACCGTGTCCATTAGCTTCAAAGTAAACTCCTATATCATATTCAAGAGCCTTGTGGTGGAGATGTTTGACACCAGTACAAGCACAAGCAACAGGAACTCTCTTTGAAAATAACAAAATGTTAAATTTCATAGATAAAACAAAAAGCTAACGTTTATGAAAAAAAAAAAAAAAAGAAACAAACCAATTTTTCAGATATATAGCGAGTAGAATTTCCATTAGCATAAGCTGTTTGAACAAGACCAAGCTTCAAATTGAGACCTGAATCTCTTACTAAATCCATCAAATAGCCAGCAACTAGAACAAAAATTAATATATAACAAAAAAACTGTCATGGTTTCAAATACAATTGGACTAATTTAAAAGAAAAATATCATATTAAATTGTCAGATTGGATTCTGGCAAGTTTAAAAACACCTAAGGAAATTATTAATTCAATGAATGCCAAATATCCATATATCAGCTGGTTAATAGTAAATAAATAAACTGCCTTATAAACTAAAAAAAATTAACTTAGTTTATCCTTTTTTTTTAAATTTTATCATGATTCTTGAAAATGAAGAACCACTTCCATAATATAAGTCTAATCAATTGTCACTCTCTCACAGAAGAATTTTCTGAGGAGAAAAAAGAAGATTTCTATGATGCATAGGAGAGAGAGCTCGACATTTTCCTTTGAAGTGACGTAAAAACTCTGCTAGCAGACTTTAATGCCAAGATTAGCCAAGAAGAAATATTCGCCCTACATTTGGAAAATGGAGCCTCCCTGAACAGATGCAAAAAACTGAGCTTACAAATCGATAGTGCTAAGAAGAAATAATAGGCTAGCATCAGAAGAATATAGAACTTTGCGGTAAGCAGGGAAGAAACTTCATCGAAGAAAGAAGAAAACCTGAGAAAGCAAAAATTGGAAGAAATCTAGAAACTACAAAAAGTAAATGAAAGCAGACTCTTTTTTCATAGGTTCGATCAGAAAAGAGCCGATTTCAAACCAACTTCTATTCCCTGCAAGAGCAAGGACGGTTCGCTGCTCACTAATAAAGAAGAAATTCTCCAAAGATGGGTGCGTCACTTTGAAGGTCTGGTAAATGACTCTACAGTGAAAGATGTATAAGGAGTTGCCAGGCAGACAAATCGAAACAACAACTCAGAATAAGGGAATGAATCCCCTTCATTGATTACAAGAATTGTAGAGGAATATCGCTCCTACCAACAGCATATACAATTCTTTCCCAGAATTCTCTTCAATCGATTGTGTCCATATGCCGAACAAATAGTACAAAAATTCACAGTAGAACAAATGTTTTCCCTGAGGACTATTGTGGAGAGGGGAATTGAATTGCAACATGACAACCTGCCATCTTTTCGTAAATTTCAAGGATGTGAACGATAGCATTAATCGCTCCCAAATTTACAAGGCCCTTGAAGAATTTGACATTCCTAGAAAACTTATCTGTCTTATTAAGATGAACATGCATGATGTGAGGAATGTCATCCAAATACAATAAGAGTGCTCGAGCGATTTTCAGACCAATAAGGGTCTGCGACAGGGGGATGGTTTGGCATGTCTGCTGTTCATTCTAGGGCTTGAAAAGGCAGTAAGGGATTTGGGAGTACAGACAAAAGGAATTATTATTATATTATTAGTCAACAGAAGTGTCCAGATCTTGGGCTTTGCTGAGGATATTAACACAGTTGCAGCATCAAAATCTGAGCTGATTAACGCTTTCCTGGCAAACCAACAGGCAGCTGCGCTATTGGGACTTCAGATAAATGAGGCCAAAACTAAATATATGGTGATAAAGGCCGACGGATTTCAGCAAGGTGAAAGTTTTATAGAAATAGGCCCATACAAATTTCAGAGTATAGGAGTTTGCCTACCTCAGATCCCTAGTGACATCAACCAATGACATGACAAAGGAAATAAGGAAGAGAATAGCAGTAGCCAGCTGTTATTTTGACTTAAGAGACACATCAGAAGCCAACTAGTCACAAGAAAAACTAAGGCAAGATTATATAAAACTTTGATTAGGCTGGTGTTGATCTATGCCTTACAAACATGGATGATGACAAAGGCTGTTGAAAGTAACCTCGTTATATGAATGGAAAATTTTGAATACACGGCCCAGTGAATGAAGGAGAAGTTGGGAGGAGACAAAGAAACCGGGAGTTACACATTCTGTATAATAACTTAAATGTCCTCGACTTCATAAAACTTAGAGGGTTAAAATGGGCCGGACATGTGATTCGGATGGGTGATATATTCCCAAAAGAGTTCTTGAGGATAGGATTGATTGCACCAGGAGGAGAGGCAAACCCAAGCTAAGATGAATAGATAGCACAGTGGCTGACTCCAGGATACTACTAAGAACATCTAACTAGAAGGCAGCGACAATGGATTGAGATGGATGGCAGAAGCTCCTAGAGGAGGACAAGACCCACCCTCGAGTTGTAGCACCAATGAGAAAGATAGATGTAAATGAAGGAAATTTATAGAAAACTATAAGAATAAAATAATAATAATTGATAATTCAAAATTTGAAACTATTTTTCTGAAACATTTTAATTGTTACGTTTTCCAAAAACTGAGCAAAAAACAAGGTATTTGATGTGGATATTTCACATAACATGTCAATTTTTCAGGATAATATTAGGTAGCATATAGATAAAATATAATTTATAAAGTTATATATGCTTCAACACGATTTATAGAAAATAATAATAATAATTAGTTACTAAGCTTTGACTTTTGTATAACTTTTTAATTGCATGCACATATGATTAAATTTAAACATGTGAAACTCAGAAAAACCTGTTTGACAACTGATGTAATTGAGTTATTCTCAATTGGAAGCATAAAGTTACATAAAACTAGTATTCCAACGAGATAATAAAAACTAATAGTTTATCAACATATATATTTTTTTTTTATAAAAACTTAAAAGTAGTTTACGTTAAAAGGTGATAACAGTCAAAATGAAAGTTTTCCATAAATTATAAAATATTCTAAAAGAGTTCAGTAATTTGGCCATGGTGTTCTAGCCAAAAAAGTTTCATTAAGTTTACAAAGATTAGATTTCATAGAGAGAAAATTGATCAAATTACTTAGTGATTTTTCTAAAATGTAACTTGATGATTTTCACGATAAATCAATGATATATTAGACTAAATACAAATATCATGATAGAAGCTTAATATTTTTTAATAAATGTTCTACAGTTTATTACATAATTATAGTACTAGAAATATTAATTCTTTTTTTTTTTCTATGACATTACAAGAAATTACTAAAAAATTAAAAATTACCTAAAGTAGCAATATTGTCACCATCAAGTAAATGAAAAACGCCATTTTCATCTACATAACAGTAAATAACTCGGTCTGCATCACCATCCACAGAAACAATTCTTCTGTTAGGAATTATAGCAAATCCTTCTGGGGGCTTTTGGTTTGTCTTCACAAAATCTGCCCCACACTGCCAGAACAAAATAATTTGTAAAATTACATAAGATTTAGCAATTATATAATTTGAAAATTATATAAAAAAATTTTCTTAAAGATAATTACCATAAAATTAAGTTTTCCTTTCGTTGTAGTGTCACTGTTATAAATATTCACATTCAAAGAATTTCCCAATCGGCTTACAAATTCATGCATAGCTATCGCACCTACTCCATTAGCTCCATCAAAATCTATAGTAGCTTCATAGTTCACATTCTTAGTGCTCTACAAGTAAATTATTTAGATCAAAGTTTAGTAATGAAAATTTTGTTATCAAACTGCAATAATGAACCCAACCTCTTAAACCATAAAATGTAATGACACCTCTTTCCGAAGAGCTTTAAACGCTGCTGTGAATCTAGATAAATAGTTTTCTCGGTATGATATTTCATTTGAAGGACCAATGTTGTAAGAATACACATAATAATGGAGCATAGGGGTAGTTACAACTCCATGGTCTTTAACAAAACCTGAAAGGACTTCTACTCCATCCATCGCAGCTTTTGAAAGATGTAGACTACTGGGCCTATAATCAGAAAAAATGAATTAGAGAAATTAAATTAAAGCTAACCATCACAAACCTGAGATATTTTTATTGATACTTAGAGATCTACTGACCAAATACTGAGGTTATTAGTTGATTAATAATAATTTAATTAACTTATCTTAAGTAAATAAAACATTACCTAGTATCTCTTCCAATAAATACATGGGCAGGCTTTGATATATCTATTCCTAATTCTGAAACAATTCTATTCAATTCTTCCTGAACTAAATTATCATCAGCATTCGCTAGTTCAGTGGCAATGGATTCCCATTTTTGTTCCAACATTTCACCATGCGGATCAATCATCTTAACACCATTATCGGCTTCTGGGTTGTGAGAGGCAGTTATCATAAGACCAATTGCTGCTGAGCCTTTCCCTTTGGAGCGTAAAGCAGCTAAAAGACCCATTCTGAAGGCAATGTGATCCAAATTTTCAGCACTAAAAATATAATAAAGTTTACTTATTGTTAATAAAAATTACCCATCAGCAAAATACAGTATGGAATATTTTTTTAATACTATAGTAATGACATTTTTGTAAAAGACAATATTTCGGATCAGTTTTTAAAGTTCAAAACATTAGGCTTTATATACAATTCCAGAGAAAATATCAATGAGTTGAATTGAAGAATTGATAATTTTTCAGAAGTGGCTTTGATTGAAGTTGGGTATCAAGATAACATCATTTACACTGTACATGAAATGCCGAAAGTATTGAAGTGTGTACAAAATCATGGTCCTCAGGCTGCTTTCAAAACTCCAAGAAGTGTGATCAATGAGATATTGGTTCACACACAATCCATGAGTGACACTTCCAAAGAATATACATCATTGATATAACAGATCAATATAATTCGTATTTAGAAAATTTAAGATACAAAAAAGTAAAAGACAAAAGGAATTCATGTAGTTTGTAAAAGCAGCCGTTTTTAATTCATTCAATATTGATTTATAATAAAATAAAAAATAAGTATATTTTTGATTGGGATAAAGTATTCTATCAAATATCTTTATAGCAGTTCCGTTTCAAGAAAAATTTCGATATGATTCAATATGGATCTTCAATAAGAACTATATTTTATACAATACATCGAAGATCAGGAATGAATACAACAAAGCTCAAGTCTCAGAGCTCTGTATACAAAGATAGATTTGAAAGAAAATAGATACTTCTAATCTATAAATAAGGATCATCCTACAAAGTAAAAATTAAAGGAACTAAATCTATACCATGTCATATTTTTAAACTCTTATTTATTTTTCTTATAAAATTTACCAAACTGAAGTTATGGAGTGTTTATTGCCAAAATTTCTACATGTTGGATAGCTATTTACTTATCCCCATGCTAGGATACAGAATAATTCAAAAACAACATTTATGTATTCAGTAGAAGCAAGAAAAAACACACTTTAATGACTCCATAAATTAATTTATTGGTCATTTCTCTCTTCATTGATTATATTTAAAATGTAAAGGGAAATACACATTCATTATACTTACATAGTTCTAAAACCTGCTGTTCCATATTGTATAATTGGACCTTTTTTCGGATATTTGTTTATTACTGGTTGTATTTCAATCATTTTAAGAATAATAAAAATAGAAGAGAATAAACGAAATGATGTGTCCAAGCCTTCCTCACTTTCTACACACAAGTTTGACAAGACAGCTTGTATCGTGTTGAAACCTAAAGTTACCTCACCAAAACACCGCACAACGAAGCAATAGACTTGTTAGATACGTTTATTACATAACTGGAACAAATTCAGAACGATAACGCTTACATATTTAATAAAAAAATATGGGTTGATAATAACAAGGCGATTGAATCAAACTAATGTATTTCCTTCTGGCAGAAATAATGAGACAACTTAAAAATTATATTTTATTTTTATTTATTACTTTTAACAGCTCAATTATAATGGTTTTCACTTTGAATTAATAAAGTTTCAACTAATATCTTTTAGGACTGCAAATGGTGTACATCAACTACCCAAAAACATATTTTTCTGTCAAAAATAAGCCTTTTGAATTAAACCATTATTCGAGCCTACCATTGCAGAAAAGAATATTTTATCCGTTTTCTCAACTGCTTTGTACTATTTCCTCATGTATTTGACGATACTAAGATTTGAGTTGCAATCTACCCATTTAAACACTCGAACATCTGTAACAACGTTTCGTGTCTGGTAAACGATGAGTCGTGAATTTGGTTTCTCGTTTTTACAAAGATCCATTTTTTCTTATAAGGGAAATGTATAGTGATGGTTGATATATACTTGATTGATACTTCTAATGGCAAAGTAACTTCGACCACTCTCTTGGATTTTGATAGCTGCTGTACATATGCTGTACGCCTATACCATAGGCGAAGACTTTGGAAGAGGCAAGGAGAGGTGATCGCCTCATCCCGATAAAAATGTTGCTGGGCGGGACTATCGTTTTGCCATTCCCTCTTCCCCCAATAATTTGAGGTAAAAAGAATTAAAATCAATAATAAATAAGGTGTATGAATGAATACCATGTGTGGACTAATATCGATTAAGTGAACGCCTAGAAGTGTGTAACTATTTTATGACCTAAATGTTACTTTAATTTATATTTTTATTTATGTCCAAAGATAAATGATATAATAATTTATATCAACATATCCTAGAATGTAATTATTCAATCGCTCCTCAATTTTCACGTGATATTCTTATCAAATTTCTTCACGGCAAACTAGTTGGACTGTAAAAAACGTATTTTTATTTGAGATTGTCCACACTAAGAAATTAAAGGTATGTTCCCCTTTTTTTTAAATTAAATTTTAGCTGAAAAAGTTCTAGAAATGCACCAGTGTTATGAAAGCTGTCTCTCCTTACCTCCGCGTTTTATTTAAATAAATATGGTATATATTCAATTGGGTTTTTAAAGCCATCTTCAAGTATATATAAAAAGGAAAACTAAAAATTAACTAAATTCAAATCCTTACAAGTATACAAACATATAAAAAAATAATTTTAAGTATTCAATATTATATTTGTAAAGTACACAATAATCATATTGAATTTTTTCACATAATAACAACTTCTACCATATTAAAAAAATATTTTTTTTGGTCCATCATTTCCCGTTTATCAATTTCAAAAGCATGCGCCTATGGCTGTACCACGGGCGGATCAACGGGGGAGGAGGCTTTTGGTCTGAAGCCTCCCCTTCCCCCAAAATGGTAATATATAAACATGTTTTATGGAAAAATATATTAAAAAATTATCTCTTAAAGTATTATTGTTCGTGTAATTACATTTAAAAGGACTTAAGGAATCATTTAAACACCATTTCATATAGATAGTTAGTTTCTTTCTTTTTTCCGACAGTAATTATCGTCATTTTTATGAAAAAAAAAAAGCTTTCGGGCTGAAGCCTCCCCAAAAATAAATCCTGGATCCGCTAGTGGGCTGTACCAACCAACAGTTGAAATCTTCCTGAAGGCCTGCCCTCACATTCAAATTTCTCATGACTATTTTGACACCAGGTGTTGAAGGCTGTCATAAAGCCTTTCCAACACACAATAAAAATCATCTTCATAGTTATATTCACTTTCCTCTGTAACAGCAATAACTTAAATCAGGGATATGTTAAAGAAATGCCCTTTGATCTTCAAATAGCATACTTATTATTGACATTAATAGGAATCAGTAATTTTTATGAGGTATTTTCAAGTTTATAATAACATGAAGATTTCGTCATAATTTAGAATTAAGTTGTAGATTCTTATTCCATGTCTCCGCTATTAGTAATAATTCACATAGTATTGGTTGAATATAAACTGAAGTCTAAATATAATTTAAGCAATAAAATGTCCAAAAATTTACTAATAATGAATAAATTGTTTGTATTTTGTTCTACTATACTTAAATTTCACATCACTTATTAAATGTCTTCATTTGAAAATATATTTCAAATTCTTCAATAATTCTGTGACGATTTAAAAAACGTCTCCCAAGGAAGGTCAGTATAACTTCCTCACCGTTTGCATTCGCTAATATATATATATATATATATATATATATATATATATATATATATATATATATATATATATATATATATATATATATTTATATATATTTATACAAGATCTAAAATTTTTCGTATGAAAATAAAATCTCTGGGAGAAGCCTTTTTCGGAAATTCAGTAATCTCTCAACATATACTGGAAAATCGATGTTACAAAAACTCCATAAGAGAAATAAGAAAAACTAAACTTTTTGATTTTTCAGAATTAACGAGACCAATACTTTTTTTCAGTCAGAACAAAACTATTTAATCTAGAATATAAAAATATTTGTAAAAATCACACATAAACTCGATACCACGACGATTTGGTCGAACTTCAATATACATAAATACAATCACAAATAAGATTTTTCTTTTTTACAAACTCAGAGTAAAAAATTATTGAAAATTACATGGGATCGAGGAAACAATACAGTATAAATTAAATTTTTGAATAAAACCTAAAATTTTATAACTCCATAAAAATATTGTCATAACCTAACTTCCACTCCATATGATCAGTGCCTTCCACATTTCACTGCCATTATATTGTTAACAATTATTTATATTAATTTTAATCATTAAATGAAATGCATATTAGGAAATTTCTATAATATTTTCCAAATTTCCTCCAAGCTTGGGTCAAATTGAACCCGCAGTTTTCAAACTATAGACTTGCCAAATAATACGTTTGCTGATCCGAAAGTAAAAGCATTTTTTCTAGGAGAAGTGGATAGAATTTGATAAAATTCATGTTTACCAATCACTAAATTTCCTCCAAATTTGAGCCGAATCGAACATGCGGTTTTAAAGACATAGGTGTATTAAGGAAAACGTTATTTTTTCACCATTGCCTACCTACCTTCTATCGAACTTTGAGCCACATCGAACGAGCCCTTCCTGAAATATTGGCGTATCTAAAAAAATTCGTTTTCGCGTTCGAAGGAGAAGTGCTAGATGGAATTTGATAAAATTAATATGGGACCGTCTAGGCACCGATTCGCATAATCCTCGAAAATTTCATGGAAATCGGATGAACGGTACTAGGTGATATGCCCGTCACATCGATTTGACTAAAGACAGACAGACACCGAACCAAATTTGATCCTTCATGTCTGAAAGGTAAAATGCGAGTGGAAATTTTCGATCCTGAGCGCAAAATTTCCTTTAACCTCTTGCACGAACATAATGCTTCCCTACCTTCGGTAGTGAGGAAGCAAACAAATATTTTGTCACGTCATTTTTTTCTTCTTTAGCTTCCTCACTACCGAAGGTAGGGAAGCATTGTGTTCGTGCGAGAGATTAAAAAAATTTTTTTGCTCAGAATCGAACATTTTCACTCGCGTTTTACGTTTCAGACATCAAGGATCAAATTTGGTTCGGTGTCTGTCTGTCTCTCTGTCCGTCTGTCTGTCCGTTTGTCTGTCTGTAGTCAAATCGATGTGACGGGCATATCACCTAGTACCGTTCGTCCAATCTTCATGAAATTTTCAGGGATTGTGCTGATCGGTGCCTAGATGGTCCCATATCAATTTTATCAAATTCCACCCAGCACTTCCGCTTACGCACGCGCAAGCGTATATTTTTAGATATGCCAATATTTCAGAAAGGGCTCGTTCGATTTGGCTCAAAGTTAGATAAAAGGCAGACTTTGGTGAAAAAATAATGTAGTGTCAATTTCATTGAATTACGTCCAACACTTTCTCTTATATGTGCACTACTATTCCGCCGTCCGCCGTCCGCGCATTTTTTCTGAAACTACTAGACCGATTTTTTTCGAATTTGGATATAAAATCAGAGGTCACCCGAGGATCATCCTCCTTCAACAACATTACTATTCGCCTTCTAGTTTCAAAATGGCGGCCGAAAAACCTGCGTTGCTATAGACTGTAGCGCCTAAACGAATGAACCGATTTTGATGAAACTTCGCTAAAGTCATTTTCTCTACGCCCTCTAAATTTATCTATACTACATACTTCAACGAAAAGAAGCTCAAAAAAAGTTACGAGGGATGGTAAAATTAAATTCCGAATAACTCAAGAAGTATGCACATTTATGTCAATATTGTATATGGTTTTTTAGAAGTTTACGGAATTTCTTAAAAAACAAAAAAAAAATCGTCAAAATCGGAACCTATTGCAAAAGGTTTATCTTTTTTTTTATTTCTGAATGTGTTACTGAAGTAATGCTATTTTTTTTATCGTATTACTAATGATTAAAAAAGATTTTAGTCCAATAATTAGAATCACCTTTTATTTATTTTTCTTTATAACTAGGAATTTAATGTTACTTTATATGTATAATTGTTTGGAAATAGTATACCAAAGAGAAATAATTTTCAGTGGTTTTTTTCAAATTAATTATCGTTATATATACATATATATATATATACATATATATATTTAAATCTTTCGTGCTGAAGCCCCTCCTCCAAAATTCGGTAATGTATATACTATTATTAGAGCATAAGTTCGTATGTAATAATTTTCAACTTTAATTCTATGTATATTAAAGGTGATATTTTGTAGTCTGCAACTGATATAAGTAGTCTGCTACTATGGAAAATAGCAGATGAAAATAAAATATGAAATTATTCTAATAAAGCATAAAGAAATATTGAGTTTTTATGCACTCTTGTAAAACAATAAATAAATTTATACATAAAACCTTTTGAACTAACAGTATTGAAATTCATGTTCAGTATGCATTTTTTTTTATTTATTTATTTTTTTATTAAGCATAATTAAGTATGGAATATTCAAATACGACCCTCTGTTGTTGAATGTTGAAGGGTAACTGTAATCAGCTATTCCGATTCTGCTTCTCTCAGAGATTTTATTCTCATTCGAAAAATTGTATACCTTGTAATATACAACGGAAACGGTGAGGAAGCTATACTGACCTTACTTGGCAGACGTTTTTTTTTTTGAGACAATATAAATTTAAATAAAAAAAAATAGTAATGTATGAGGAATTGGACATGGTTTCAGATATACGGGATGTTTTTATGGTGTGAGGAGCGTAAAATAAAACACAAAAATACATTTCAGTTCTTTAATGTTGGAAATTAAAATATTAAATCATTTCTGGGTACTTGATGTATGAACACGGTGAGTAAGATGACAGTTATCCTCAAGCTCACATGTTTATACAGTTGATGGAATTCTGAACGATTCCAATTTCAGAAGAAATTTTCCTTCGGGAAATAAATTATTTATCTTCACTTCTTCCTATCACACAGAATTAACATAACTTATAGATAATGTTAAACTTTGAAAATCAAAACTGTTTGATCAAAATGAAAACAATGTATCTGGATTCTACCAATAATAAAAACAATCCCTTGTATTTTTGGGGGGATTAATAAAAACAGTAACTAATTATAAACCATATTTATGAAGCTATGTCTTAAAAATTCGCATTAAACATAGAAGATGGATTATTTTACATATTTGGTAAGGCCCTACCTCAACTGAAATTTACTCTTCAGCAGTTTACTTCTTGAGAGAGCGTATAAATCAGTAATGATTTAACCACTACCATTAATTCTATTTATTTTCGAACGGAATTTATTGTAAGTTGTGATTTTCTTTCTACAGAAAAAAATGTAATGACATTTTTCCAAAATTATGGAATTATTTCATTTACAAGAATGTGTGAAAATGGCCATGATAATTAAGTTGTGTGTGTTTCAGACAAGATGCGCTTTTTGAGGATATATTAACGCCACTATATAAAATCCCATAAATATACTTTCCTATACACTCGGAAAAGTTTGGAGTTCCAACTACAATGTGGTCATGTGAATTTGTTGCGAACCGCTATTTTGCCAACCGTTAATAACAATGTTTATTCTTGACATAAATAAATAAAATTTAGAAAATATTAATAATAATAAATATATACTATAAAGAAAATACAATTTCAGTACATTGAAATTGTTATACTTGAAGATCTAATTAAAGATCATATTATAATAATATATATGTATATAATTAGATATTTAAGTATTATATATATATATATATATATATATATATATATATATATATATATATATATATATATATATATATATAATAGTTGAATATCTAATTAAAATGATTCCAGATGTTAGTCGATCAAAAAAATGTTTTAATAACTGACAACTAGTATTTCATAATTTTTATCGGTCACCATACTGTCATTGGAGTAGAATGGCATGATTAAAATTCTGTCAGTTCCAGATACCTGCAATGAAAAACAAAATCAGGTGAAGAAAAATATAGGTTCATTGTTTCATTTGTTTTATTTATTTAAATTTAAAACCGTAAATAATTTAAAGGAAAAGATACTCAGTTGATAGTGATATTTAATAAAAAAAATTACGATCTGCTTGTAATATATATTGATTTCAAGATAAATAAAATTATGCATTTATTCGATATATGTACTATGTAGATTTTTTGGTACCACCTTTTCAAACTCAGTCAGAGGATTATCGGAACTCGGTTAAAGTAGAGGCTTAGAACGAGGAGATGTTTTAGCTTATAATGAAAGGGCAGTAATTCATTTTAGCGTAAAATCCACAACGTAGTAAGTAGATTATATTATTTTGGATATTTAGGTTGTAGAAAATGGAATTTGAAAGGATGATTTTTGAGAGTCCATAAAAGATTTCTCCCATAGGTCTAAATTGGCCTAATTGCAGAATAATACATGAAATTTTCAATATATATTTAGTATAGTGCAAATGTTAAAGAGTCCTGAAACAAGGGACAGTTTCTTGGCGACGAGGTCTCGAAAGAGGATTGCCACTTAGTTCCTTGTGCTGAGAGAACCGATAACTATCGGATCTGTTCCTCAGCTATAAGCCCAATATTAAATAATATCGTAGGACAGGACAAACAAAAGGTTTCTGATGTAGGTAAAGGCAAGGGCGTAAGTAGCTTTGATGTTTAAGAGAAGAGATAAGACAAAATATAGGAAAATCTCAGGAAGATAAATGATTTGATAAATGATCAAACGCCACAATACTATACTGTATGCATGTAAAACTTTTTAAAACTAGGGGGAGGGGCAACGGCCCCCTCTCCTGCTCTCCTCTGGCTACACTCATAACTAAAGTAGATTTAAAGGAATGTATTTTAATCCTTGTTTTATTTTTATTTTTTTCCTTATCTGGTCTTTTCTGTTATATAGAGGGAGGGGTAGATCTTATAATATAAATGACCAACCAGCTTTAACCTGAGTGGGAAAGTCAAGATTCATACCGCCGGTCCTCCTCGAAATGTCAACCCGCCTAGACTGGATTCGAAGCAGCACACAGTGGGGTGAGTGAATGACTGCTGGACATTGTGAGAAAATATTAACATTAAAATTTTAAACTTTAATTATATTCGTGAGGAACTAATATTGTCTCCCCGTTATCCCCAGCAACTTTTAAAGTAATTGTCTCATTAATTATGTCAAAATATGAGATATTAGTTGAAGAAAGCAAAATAATCTTTTTTCTCTTTAGATCTAATTTCCCTGTAACTTTTGTGTAAACCTAATGGTAAGTGCAGGGAAGAATAAGACACTGCTATGAGAAACATATGTTTTTAAAAATATATTGAACTATAACGGTTTATTTATTTATATTTTATACAATTTACACCTGCGCGGCTGCGCATCTAGCAAATATGTTGTGTTTGTACTGTCTTGGTGTAATTGCTTGATTTGGTTTTTATTGATGTAGTAGGTCTCTTGGCCATTTTCTTTTTAATCTGCGTTGTTCAGGTAACAGGGAGCAGGAAATAGAAAGAACCAGAGGATTGGATTTAGGATTTTACTGTTGGGGTGTTTAAGTCTTTTTGTAATGTAGTGTTTGAAATGTACCAAGGTGCGTTAACATTTTTTCGTAAAATTTTTGATTGTGCAGTTTGTATTTTGTTTATGTGTGTTTGTTTTGCTGAACCCCAAAGTTCTGCTCCATAAGTCCACATTGGTCTCAGTAAGGTGTTGTAGATCAGTTGCTTGTTTCGTAAGTTAAGTGAAGATCTGTAGTCAAGAAGATGTGAAAGTTGGCTATATCGTCTAGTAAGTTCTTGTCTTTTTAATTTTGTAGGTATGTTTATTTATGGTAGTATTGATCCATTTTTCGCTCTCAGGAGCGATTAATTTTGATGATTGAAATATCAAACGAAAGGGAATTTCATAACAGTGATGAATTATAATTTCAAAACGTAAAACCGTACTACCACTACAGCACTGAAGCTCCTCCCAAAATTAAATCCTGGATCCGCTATTGTATAACGTGTAGTGTAAATGTCTCCTTGGTTTAAAATTCTTTTCAAATAAAACGTCATAAAAATATGGCTCCCTAAAATTCATAATCTCGTAAATACGTAGCCTCTTTGAAAATTCATAACCTCGTGAAAAGTGTATCCCTATCAAAAATTATGATCCAATCCCTTTTTGGCGCTCCTCAACAGACAGAATTCAGTCCACTGAACTTAATTTTCTGAGGAAGTTAAAGCCAATGTCCAAGGAACTGTGAAGTTCCATTAGACTAAAGTGAGGACTTATCACTTACGGTTAATTACATTACATCAAAGTATAAATGTTACCTTTCCAGGGGTCATAACTTCTTTACCGGAATAAGAAACGTAAGTACGCCCGATGTAAAGTTTTTCCCCTTTACTTGATGTGGATGCTACTACTGCAGTTTCGGGTATATCATCATAAGGTTTCTTCGGTTTCCAAGCCAAGTGTTCGCTGCAGAGTACCTTAAACGAATAAATAAATGAAATAACGACAAATAATTTTTGATAAAAATTTACTAATTAAAATATTCCTGGTTTAAGTAATAACTTAATTAACATCTGCAACTAGGGAAAAAAATCTACAGAGAAGTACTATAACCAATGCCCGAATTTTAACAATTACATATTTTGTTTGCATGCAGTTTTTAAACTGGTGATCAAATATCAATACGAATCAGTGTATCCAGATACAATTAGTCAAATTTTATATTGCATATTTTTGCACCCTTTCTCATGGCTTTCAACTTCTAAACAGAAGAATCAGTTCCAGTACTTTTTAACAGGTGGTTATATTATTTTAAATTTCAAATGCATCTTGATTGGAATATTGGAACGACCCTTGCGATTCCAATAATTAAACTGTTTTACAACTCATTGAAAGGTTCATTTTTACGTCTACTGTTCAAAACAAATTTGAAAACAAGTCAATAATTTTAGGTGGATACAAATTTTCTTCTATCAGTTCTATTGTAGAATGGCCGTTTTTATATTATACAAACTTTTCAAATGAGAATTAAGTTTCTATAAACAATTTTAGAACTTTATTTATAAATTTTGGTCAGATCGTGTCGCTTACTTATTTCCATTGGCGTTTTATTTATACTGTTCATGTTGTCAAATGACTTTTTGTTTAATTAAAAACATTGATAGTTTTCTTTTATTGCTAATTGTAAATTGTATTATTTTAACGTCTAATAAGTATCTGACATCATTTTTTTAATTATTATTAATTATGTTTAAACTAGTTTTATATTCATTTGAGTTTTTTTTTTAATATTATCAATTGGTTATCATTTGTATATAAAATGAACTATGTTTTTATTTGTTGCTAGTTAGAACACTATAGCTAACCAATCTCCACGGTCTTGTGCTGCTTCCCTCCATCTTTGTACGCCCATCCGCCTCGTCCTCCACATCCTCCAGCCATCAATGGCAAAATCCATATCAAACAGGTTGCACCATATCATATCTATAAAACTTTCTCCATTCGAGTTTACATAAGTAAATGGACATTTTGTATCACATAAAGACAATTCAAAAGAAAAATATAATTTACTTCGATCACTTGGTTCAGACATATTCCCTTCGAATCACAAACATTACCCATGGAAAGCCTCTCGTGGTTGAAGAAGCTGTTCTTGAAAATAGAAGTATCCAATTGATTGAGGTCAAACATGTTGGCATTAAAATCACCTACTTTATAATTTTCACATACTACCTTGTCTCATTGCTTGTGAATTGGACAGTTTGCTGTTCTTGTCTAATCTTATGGATTTTTTTCTTTCATGCATATCTCCCAAAATATGTCATGAATTTACTCCCACAGATCACTGCCACCATATTTTAACATCTATGGGGTAATCTCGTCGAGACCTGGCGAGCTTTCACCTAAGCAAAGGATATCTTACCGAAGGATGCTTTAACAAAGTTACCTTATCACGTGCTTAAGTAATGTGTAAGTAAGAATTTTCATTCCAATAAAAAAAAATATACCATAAGTCGCTTTCTTCTTTATGGATCATATGAGATAAATCTGTGTTTATAGCTTTGTTATTCACGTTTAACGCAGCAAAATATTTAAGGAATTTTCATTGTAATAATAAAAAGAAAGTATGCCTAGTAAGATCAATATAGCTTCCTCATTGGCCAAAATCTATATATATAAAATCTATATATATATATAAATGAATTTATGTCTGTCTGTCCGTCTGTTTGTCCTTGGTGCATTACTAAACCATTCATCCGATCGCCATGAAACTTTGGGAAGTTGTTCCGTACACTCCTGGGAAGGTTTTTGGAATATTACTTCTGTCCTACGATAATTTTATATATGTAAAAAAAATAAAAATGTAAGTGTTTTCTGTTCAAAGCCGCAAAAAAATGTGTCGCTATAAGCTGTAGCGCCAAAACGGCTTTACCGATTTTAACGAAACTTGGCTAAAGTCTTTCCCTTGAAACACTTTTCATTTATGTGTATAACATGCTTTCCCGAAAACAAGCTGAAAAATGTTACGATGAATTCAATATTTTATTTGACGATAACTAAAAAAGTACAGAATTTTTGACTGATAATATCCCCATTTATTTGAAAGATTCCTGATTTGCCCAAAAAAAAACTATCGAAATCGGACGGTTCATTGAAGAGTTATAGAGTTTTGAATATTTACTGCTTTCTCTTCAGAAAAGGCCATTTCTTTTTGCTTCCTCACTACCGAAGGTAGTCAAGCATTTTTTTTTTTTATTGTTCAATCGAAATTTTTATAATTACACACAGTAATTGAAATTATCATTTGAAGAAGTTATTTGATTCTCCTTATGTAGGTTAATACTATTATACGTTCGTTATATTAATTTTTATTTTAGTTTTATAAGTTCAACACAGACAGTTTCTGATGATTATGAATGAATCATGAGAAATAAAAATCATTAGAATTAGTTTAAATTGAAGCCATTTTACAGACAAATTTGTTTCTCAACTTTTTAAAAATGACAGATGTCCTTTGCTACAAATCTACTCATATGTGCTTTCTATTTTCTTTCTTTTTTATTTTGCCAGGCCAAGCCACAGCAGCGCGTAGTATATATCTTTATTACAAGGTATACAATTTTTCGTATGAGAATAAAATCTCTGAGAGAAGCCGATTCGGAAATACAGTTACCCTTCAACATTCCCGAGTTTGATATCCACGAATTTCGTTTATCAGCTAATATTAAAACGCGAAAGAGTGCCGTATTTTAAGATTCCAAATTTGATTATTTTTATTAAAAAAAAATACCAAGGCATACAGAACTTACTCACTACTTTTAGTGCAAAAGGTCGTATGTAAGAATTGATTGTTTTACAAAACTCATTATTTCTTTATCCTTTATTAGTACAATTTCATATTTTATTGTTGTCTGATATTTTCCATAGCAGCTGACTACTTCTATCAGTTGCAGACTACAAAATGTCACCTTTTACACAAATATAATAAAAGTTGAAAATTTTTACATACGAACTTTTGCAATAATAGTAGTAATAAGCTTAATCGGTATATTTTCTCTCGTAAAACGGATGGAACTAGAAAATCCATAGGAAAACTTCAACTTGTTGTTAGTTCCGAGCTAATGAGACCAATAGTTTTCTTCAGTCAGAACAAAACGCATTAAGCTATTAAATATAAAAATATGGGTGAAGTTCGCACAACTTCGATATTTAAGGAGGAAATCGATACCAAGACGAACTGGTTGAACTTCAATGGAAATAAACACAATCATGAATAGGACGTTTCTTTTTTTGTTTAAAAATTCAGAGTAAAAATTACTTTAAATTTACTGAAAATTACACGAAATCTAAGTAAGGCAGTAAGTGTCATGCCAGTAATGTTTGGAACCGACCAAACAATACAGTATCAATTAATTTTTTGAATAAAACCTATAATTTAACAACCCCATAACAATATTGTAAAAATCTAACTCCCACTCTATATGATCATTTGATTCAACATTTCACAATGATTATATTGTTAAAAATTATTTATATTAATTTTAATTATTAAATCTAATTCAATGAAATTGATTTTTAGTTATTTCTGTACTGTTCTCCAAATTTCCTCCAAGTTTGGTTCCAATCGAATACGCCGTTTTCAAACTATTGGCATACCAAATAACACATTACCTGTTCTGAAAGCGGAAGTATTTTTGTTGGAGTAGTAATTAGAATTTGATAAAATTGATGCCTATTTCATTTTACGTTAACCAATCCCTAAATTATCTCGAAATTTGAGCCAAATCGAACTTGCGGTTTTAGAGATATAGACGTATTAAGGAAAACACATTTGCGGATATATAAGAGAAAACAATGGGCAGAATTCAATAAAATTGACCGTACATTATTCGCTCACATATACCTACCTTTCATCCAACTTTGAGCCGAATCGAACTAGCAGTTTCTGAAATACAAGCATATCTACAAAAATGCGTGTTCGCGAGCTGAAGCGGAAGTGCTGATTAGAATTTCATAAAATTTATATGGGACCATTTAAACACTAACCCGCACAATTCCTGAAAATTTTATGAAAATCGGAAAACGGTAGTAGATGATATGCCCGTTACATCGATTTGACTACAGACAGGCAGACAGACAGACACTAAACCAACTTTGATCGTTTATTTGTCTCTAACGTAAAACGCGAGTGAAAATTTTCGATTCTGAACACAAAATTTGTTTTAACCTCTCGCACAAATACAATGCTTCCCTACCTTCGGCACTGAGGAAGCAAAATAATACTCAATATTTCGTTGTTTTAAACAGGTATTATACCTAAAATAAAACTATTAACACAGATGGATCTCATAAGAGTTATTAATAGAAGGTGAACTAATGAGAAAAAACAATTATTTGTTTTTCATCTGATTAAATAAAGTTATAAACACAGATTGATCTCATAAGAATTTAGGACAGGTTAAAATACATAAATAAAAAAATAGTTTTTCCTTCCCAAGTAATGACTACTGATATGTGATTAACGTTTTTTCTGGTATGCCTAAATATTATATAATATTTATATCAATTTTATCACATCCAATTTTTTTATAAAATGTTTCTGAACGTAAGAACAATAAAACCGATAAAGTTTGAAAATATATTTTGCACGTATCATTTATAAATGGTATCTATTTTGCTGTATTCAGACTAAAATAATAATCAGATCAGGCTAATCATAGCAGTAAGACTTACTTGAAAACTGACTGACACTTCGCTGTACTTTCCCCTAATGACTGTGATCGTTCTTTTATGATAAGGAATTATGATGGAAGGAATATAACCATTCTGATTCCAGGGGGGGACCTCGAAGTCTTCCCCTGTCTTATTGATCCAATGATAAAGTTCGAGCTTTCTGAAAATTATATTTTTGAAAAAATGTGTATTATATTAATATTTATGAATCTAAACAGGTAAGGAATAAATTATTTTTTTTTATTTATTTTATTTTTTAGCTATTTATTTAAGATATTTACAACTGTATTACAATACAAATACATCAAGTAAATGTGTACACAAGAATATAATCACTTGAAAACGCATGTTGAGAAACTACCTACAGTTAGCACTCTAGTACTATGTCTATATAAGGAGATAACGAGGCCATCTTCTTTTCAGACGCCTTGGAGGAAGGAATAAATTTAAATTTTGTGTTTTTTTCAAGGTTGTCCCATTTTTAAATAAATAGGAATTAAATAATAAAATGACTTTCTACACATGATGTATAGCTCTTTCCAATTACAGTATCGCAAACTAGATATTTTTTGGTTGTTTAAAACGTGGTTTAATCAATCCGTTAAAATGTATGAAATGATTTTTGGAGCGAACGACTGGACTAATTTTTATCTTTGATGCTACAAATTATTTTGTGAGACCATGTGTCATTTGAAGTTGAATTTCTTTAACATCGAAATGAGTGAGATTTGTTACTGAATAATATGAGTCATCTCCAGCTGTAGGCACCAAAAATGATTTAAAATTTTGTCCCTTCAAATTTTTAATTTTTTCTGTAGTGATAAATATCTGAAGCAGTTAGAGAGTTTTAATTTCTGATGTTTCTCACACTGACAGCTGAATGTACTAGCGGATCCAGGATTCAAATTTTTTTGGGAGGAGTGCTTCAGCCCGAAGGATTTTTTAAAAATATATCTATATAACGATAATTAATTTGAAAAAAAAAAAGAAAGAAACTAACTAACCATATGAAATGGTGTTTCAGTGGTTCTTGAAGTCCTATTAAATGTAATTACACAAGATAGATTTTAATATTTTTTCCTATAAAACATGGTTATATTTTACCATTTTGGAGGGGGCTTCAGCCCGAAAGCTCCCTTCCCCCCGTAAATCCACCTGTGGCTGATTGTAACTCAATCGTTGGAAAACCTGATATAAATAAATAATCATACTATGAATTGAGCCCAACAGACGGGAACAGATTGTATCCTGAAGTACTTTGGTACACAAAATTAAAACAACCACATTATTTCTTTCAGTGATTTAACAACGAAATCAGGGTATTCTATATCTAATATATTACTTCAGTGACCTGAGTACCACGAGTATCTGTAATAATCAACTTATTTTTCGCTTGTGTATCCAGTGATAAGGCAATTTGAACGTTATATTACGCCGTTACCAATGAAGATCCATAATTAATCGCTACTAAGACTTTTTGTATTTTGTGAGTCAGGAGCAGGTACTTCAAACAGTAATCGATATACTAACAGATAAACAAACTAAGATTATATATTAGCATTAGGTTAACCAAAACTAAATGACGACTTACTGTACACTCTTAGCTCCTGAAGCCCTCAACAATCATATTATGGCCAAATTATTAGTGGCTACCACGGGCGGATCTACGGGGGGGGGGGGGGGCTTTCGGGCTGAAGTCCTCCCCAAAATGGAAAAATATAACCATGTTTTATGGGAAAAGAAAATTTAAAAATACCTCTTAAGGTATTATTGTTCGTGTAATTACATTTAAAAGTACTAAGTAAGGAATAACTTAAACACCATTTCATATAGGTAGTTAGTTTCTTTCTGTTTTTCCAAAGCAATTATCGTTATTTTTATGAAAAAAAAAGATTTCGGGCTGAAGCCCCCCCCCAAAATTAAATCCTTGATCCGCTAGTGGTGGCTACAGCGAGATCCAACGGAGACCTTCCTTTATAATCGACTGCGCTGATTGCTGCACAAGAACTGACGAGGTGCTCGACGATGTTAAAAAGCTCTTTCTCAACGGCAAAATGAAGTGCTGTGCTGCCATTTTGGTTTTTTGCATTTATATCTCCTCCAAATATATAGCATTTCCAAGTCAATTTCAACCTTTTCCAAATCAAATTCAACCTTTTCCAAGTCAAATTAAACCTTTTCCATTTCAAATTCAACCTTTTCCAAGTCAAATTCAACCTTTTCCATTTCAAATTCAACTTTAGAATTTTTGTCAATTTTCGATTTTTTTCGAAATGAAGGCCACTTACTATATTATCGACGGCATAGCTTTTAAAAAATACAAAAAAAAAATTGATTACGCAGTTGCATATCCATTTATTTTAACATTTTAGATTTTTTCAGTGTGATATTTCTATGTGATATTCAATTATTTCCAAGTCAAATTCAACCTTTTCCAAGTCAAATTCAACCTTTTCCAGATCAAATCAAACTTTTTCCAAGTCAATTCAACCATTTCCATTTCAAATTAAACCTTTTCCAATTCAAATTCAACCGTTTTCATTTCAAATTAATGTTTTAAGTTTTTGTAAATTTTATATATTTTTTTTAAATAATGGCCATCCCCTCCCCCCCTCCAATATGAAAGTCTATTATTATGCTCTCCTAAGTAGAATTTTCACTTACGGATATCGATTTATTGTACCTATTCGGATTTATTAGGGACTAGTATTATGCTGTCCTGTACCTAGTTTTGAAAATAACCTCCATTTTAAGATTACGTGACTGCGTTTCGAATCATTTAAGTTTTTTTGACAAATTCGATATGTGGGTGTATTTTTATGTTTCCCGATCAGTAAATTTTGAAAATGACATCCATTTTATGTTTACGCCACTGTGTTTTGACTTATTTAAGTTTTTAGAATTTATCCAATATAAAGGTCTACTTTTATGTTTCCGGAGCCGTAGATTTTGAAAACGACCTCCATTTTAAGATTAGGCCACCGCGTTTCGACTTATTTGAGTTTTTCGGATATTTTTCATATGAGGGTGTATTTTTATGTATCCGGAGCTGTAGATTTTGAAAACGACCTCCATTTTAAGATTAGGCCACCGCGTTTCGACTTATTTGAGTTTTTCGGATATTTTTCATATGAGAGTGTATTTTTATGTATCCGGAGCTGTAGATTTTGAAAATGACCTCCATTTTAAGATTAGGCCACCGCGTTTCGACTTATTTGAGTTTTTCGGATATTTTTCATATGAGGGTGTATTTTTATGTTTCCGGAGCTGTAGATTTTGAAAATGACCTCCATTTTATGATTACGCCACTGCGTTTTGACTTATTTAAGTTTTTCGAATTTATCCAATATTAAGGTCTACTTTTATGTTTCTTGAGCCGTAGATTTTGAAAATGACATCCATTTAATGATGACGCCATTGCATTTTGACTTATTTAAGTTTTTCGAATTTATCCAATATAAAGGTCTACTTTTTTGTTTCCGGAGCCGTAGATTTTGAAAACGACCTCCATTTTAAGATTAGGCCACCGCGTTTCGACTTATTTGAGTTTTTCGGATATTTTTCATATGAGGATGTATTTTTATGTATCCGGAGCTGTAGATTTTGAAAACGACCTCCATTTTAAGATTAGGCCACCGCGTTTCGATTTATTTGAGTTTTTCGGATATTTTTCATATGAGAGTGTATTTTTATGTATCCGGAGCTGTAGATTTTGAAAATGACCTCCATTTTAAGATTAGGCCACCGCGTTTCGACTTATTTGAGTTTTTCGGATATTTTTCATATGAGGGTGTATTTTTATGTTTCCGGAGCTGTAGATTTTGAAAATGACCTCCATTTTATGATTACGCCACTGCGTTTTGACTTATTTAAGTTTTTCGAATTTATCCAATATTAAGGTCTACTTTTATGTTTCTTGAGCCGTAGATTTTGAAAATGACATCCATTTAATGATGACGCCAATGCATTTTGACTTATTTAAGTTTTTCGAATTTATCCAATTTAAAGATCTACTTTTATGTTTTCGGAACCGTAGATTTTGAAAATGGCCTCCATTTTAAGATTACGCCACTGCGTTTCGGCTTATTCAAGTTTTTCGAATTTATCCAATTTAAAGGTCTACTTTTATGATGCCGGAGCCTTAGTTTTTAAAACGACTTACATTTTAAGATTAGGCCACTGTGTTTCGGTTTCGTTAAGTGTTTTTGATTATTCCTTCGAATAAAAAACATAATACGAAGGATTAATTTATCTTTCAATAAATAAATAAAAATATCTAATCAAAATAAATAAAATATGTATTATCTCATTTTTAATTTAATTTTAGTTATCTTTTTTAATGTTGTGGTCTCCTATCACAAAATTATAAGATTTCGAACAATTAGCTGAAAAATCTGAATACGGAAGGTTAAATTTATTACCAGTTGCTTTTCGGCTTTTTAGTTTGTATTCTGTGGTTAATTTTACTTTAGCTTCATAATATTTATTTATTCATACTCGAAAACATATTGATGAAACTTTGTATTGAAAAAATCCAAAATGAATCCTAATTAATCAAGATGCAGCGGCTTAATCATAAAATGGAGCTTAAATATTAGATAAATTTAAATATTAAAGATTAGAAAAATTTCAATACGTCTCGGATAACATATAAGTAGATCCTTATACCGAAAAAGTAAAAAAAAAAAACTTTTATAATCCAAAACAGTGGCATAAACTTTAAATTGGGTCATTTACAAAATGGGGGAAATCTACTGCTCCAGAAACATAAATTAGACCTTTATACTTGTTAAATTCTAAAAATTTAAATAAGTTGAAACGCAGTTGCGTAATCATAAAATAGAGGTCATTTTCAGAATCTACGGTTCCGAAAACATAAAAGTAGACCTTTAAATTGGATAAATTCGAAAAACTTAAATAAGTCAAAATGCAATGGCGTCATCATTAAATGGATGTCATTTTCAAAATCTACGGCTCAAGAAACATAAAAGTAGACCTTAATATTGGATAAATTCGAAAAACTTAAATAAGTCAAAACGCAGTGGCGTAATCATAAAATGGAGGTCATTTTCAAAATCTACAGCTCCGGAAACATAAAAATACACCCTCATATGAAAAATATCCGAAAAACTCAAATAAGTCGAAACGCGGTGGCCTAATCTTAAAATGGAGGTCATTTTCAAAATCTACAGCTCCGGATACATAAAAATACACCCTCATATGAAAAATATCCGAAAAACTCAAATAAGTCGAAACGCGGTGGCCTAATCTTAAAATGGAGGTCATTTTCAAAATCTACAGCTCCGGATACATAAAAATACACCCTCATATGAAAAATATCCGAAAAACTCAAATAAGTCGAAACGCGGTGGCCTAATCTTAAAATGGAGGTCGTTTTCAAAATCTACGGCTCCGGAAACAAAAAAGTAGACCTTTATATTGGATAAATTCTAAAAACTTAAATAAATCAAAACACAGTGGCGTAAACATAAAATAGATGTCATTTTAAAAATTTACTGATCGGGAAACATAAAAATACACCCTTATATCGAATAAGTCAAAAAAACTTAAATAATTCGAAACGCAGTCACGTAATCTTAAAAAGGAGGTTATTTTAAAAAACTACTCATACGATAACAGACCCACGCATCGAAAAATTAAAGATAATTAAATAAATAAAAAAAGGTTGAATTTGAAATGGAAAAGGTTTAATTTGAAATGGAAAAGGTTGAATTTGACTTGGAAAAAGTTTAATTTGATTTGGAAAAGGTTGAATTTGACTTGGAAAAGGTTGAAATTGACTTGGAAATGCTATAATTAGCAAACGAACGGCTTTGATATTACCAGCGAACGTTGCCAGATGCAGTGCAGTGTTTTTGAATTTTTCTTGAGAATTTACGTTAGCCCCAGACTCCAGAAGGCTTCTTAAGGTCTCTCCGTGCCCTCTCAAAGCTGCCCAGTGAAGTGCGGTCATTCCTTCACTGTCCTGATAATTGATAAAATTGACTCCTTCATTTCATGGAGTAATTTCGTCGCCATTTAAATATTACCCGTCATTGCTGCCCTCTGCAGTGGTGGAAATCCTTGGCCAATGTTACAAGACAAATGTTTTTTTCCCACAGTGAGAAGCTGTTCGAAGACGATTTCCGAACCAACTTTCTGCAACATATAAGCTTAACAATGATACCTCATAATAACAGTTATAAAATAATTAGAGAACAATAATACTAGAACATGTACTGAGATATTTTGTTTACTTTTCACTACACATTAAAGAAACATTTCTAGATTCTTTGTAATTATACTCATACCTGAAAAATTCGAATATGATGATAACTGAATCTGGATTTCTTAATTTCGTTTGGTTACAATGAAAAAACTTATAATTAAATTTTAAAGTTGAGCATAAGTTATGCCACTTATTTCAGTAAATATAACATAATTAAATATTAAAGATGAAAACAATAAAGTTTGTACGTACTTATATTTGTGCTGTTTATTTTTATACGCAACGTGAAACTAGTGAAGTATAAAATATCATACTAGTATAATCATTCGATATATAAATGTATTAACTGATATTACAACTAGTATTTCTTTTCATGGTTTCAATAAACTGTTATTCTTAACAAAATTTCAATCAGATATAATTTTGTAAAGTCATGATATAATTTTGTAAGATAATTTGGATTGGAAAAAAATCCAAGTTTTCTGTTGTACTCTACTTTGAATGTTTTCCGCCATTTTGAAAATACTGCTGAGGAAAACTACTTTTTTTCAGCTAATTACTTTCTGTGCATGGTAGGAAAAAATATTTTATTTCTAATTTCAACAGCGTGAAATTATCCTCATTGTTTACATGGAATATTTTAGAAATTTTGGAACAGGTACTGAGAGATACCGAACAATGAATACTTGCAAAAATGTCTAAAACACAAAAAGTTGGATATATTAGTCTTTGTTTTCTTAAGAACTATATTTTAATGAAAAATGCATTATAAATAATCTTGTTGAGGAATAAATGTCCTATAAAATTCATACAGATTTATGAATGTAATCACAACAAACGCCAAGGAATATTAAAATATACCTCAAACATACAATAAACCTGAAAATCAAAATGACCTATTTCAATTTTATCCATTTCTTTCTTTAGCTAGATTTATTGAGCTATAAAAGACGAAAAAAATACAGCGGGGACGGGGTGTGACGTCACAGACGGTGGAAAGGGGTTAGGTACATCTCTAGTAGCGGCTTCAGAAGAATTCCGGGAAGATGCCTCCAAAAACAAAAGATCATTTTTTTTTTTTATATTAATAACCTGGGTCCAGTACTTAAGACAGTTACAATATGTACAAAAATGACTATTTCAAATGCTGTAAAAAAAAAAGGTTTTTGAACAGTAACATAAAAAGATTTCACAAGGGGTAAGGCCCACTGTAGCAATGAAGTCTCTCTATCTAGAGAACTATAGTAATAGCATCCAAAATTAAAGAAAGACTTAATCTGAATGGGAGGAAAGAATGGTTGTTAAGATTTATTATTGTATTTAACATTTTTTTTTTTAAGGAAAACATTAAAATTTTGTCAAACTTGTAACACCTGATTTATCAAGGACAGACTATGTTAACTATTCAATTAAAAACTCTGTAATTACATCATTTCACAGGTTCGATAAATCTCAGGATCAGATCTGACAGTAACTGCAGTCAGACACTGCTTGATATATTGGATACGACTACAAATAAAGATCCACTCAACTGTACCTGCTCAGATAATTTTATACATAAGGTAAAACTAAATAATGGTGATTTTTTAATGATATTTTTGAATCGCTTAAAATAATAATAAGAAATTGAAAACCATTTTAGAAATGAAGTAGAAATAGAAAATAACTTTATTCTGGGACAAAGTCCCTTTAGAATAACAAAATAGAACATAGTTAAAATACTACATCTGGCCAAAATAAAACAATAATAAAAAAGAGAAAGTAAAGAAAATTTGCCTTTTGGCATATATTATAAAAACGATTATCATTCGTAAACTTCCTTTGATGGATTAACATGAATGCTTGATTGGAGAACCTTCCCAGTGAAGGCAATCCTAAAGTGATTCTTCTAAATGGAGCAGATCCCTCCTCCGTGTGCGTCTGAATCTCCTTGTTGGATTCTGTGGTAGTGTGTCTGTTAGTAACGTCTGTACCAGGGGATTAGGATGTCCAATAAAGTAGTCGTGAAAATTTTTGTAAAATTTCTTAATTACGTCAGTCACATTTTTAGGTCTTTATGAAGCGATTTATTGGTTACGTAGAAGGGATAATGAGTGAAATGTTGGTGAGATTTAGATTGGAAGATTTGAATAGTATGTAAGTGTATTTTTGCATGAACGCCACACCTAAGTGGTATATGTCCATAATGGTCTGTGTAGTATATTGTACATAATAATTTTGTTAGAAAGTGATAGTTTGTTTTATGGTGTACCATTCGTCTTAGTAGTGATAGTAGATTGCTCAATCTCTTTTTCAATGTAGTCCCGTGCGATTTCCAGGTCAGTCGTCTGTCCATTGTGAGTCCCAAATATTTTGTCTCTGTATGATTTGGCAAAGGGATCTTGTAAAGTGTCAGTGCAGGACAATTCGAACGTTTGAGAGTATATGTAACTTGATTTGATTTATATATGTTAATTTTTGTGCCCCATTTATCAAGCCAGTCTTGTAATAGATTTAAATGAATCTGTGCTTTTTTTAATGCTGCGATCGGATTAGAATCCATCCAGAGTATGACAGTATCGTCTGCGTATGTTGCGAGTAATATGTCTGGCGTCTGTGGAACGTCAGAAGTGTAAATAGTAGTACACAACTGAACCTAAAATACTGGCCTGCGGTACTCCTGCACCGATTCAGCAATATTCGGAGTGTTTATCATCCTGGGTAACAACGAAAAATCTATTCTCAAGGTACGATCTGATGATTAGATAAGCATGCGGGAAGATTGATTTAATTTTACAAAGAAACCATCATGCCACAGTTTATCGAAGGTCTGTGCGACGTCTAAGAAAGCTGCTGTGGAAAGAAGCACTGATTTACGAAGAACGTATTTAAAATGAGAAGCAACAACATTCCTAAGATGAAAAGTAGACTAAAAAATCAAAGCAGATATGGATGTAATAATTCGGAGATAAGCATTATCCTAAAAGGATTACTGGCATTGTTCCTCATTGAGCTCTTGGGAAATTACGAATCTGTTGTAATTCACATAATCTGAAGTCTAATCACATATAGGAATGACATAAAATAAAACATTATATTTTATTTCACAAGGAAAATATAAAATGCTACGAAAATATATTCATTAGTATATTGAGAGAATTCTTTAAGTTTCATTTTAGAAAATTAACGATTCAACCTTCTATTAATAGCTCTTATGAAATCCATCTATATTTATAGTTTTATAGTAGCTATTAAGGAAAAGAAATATAAATTTTATTCTGGGACATTTAGTCCCCTTAGAATAATTATAATGTACAAAAAGATAAAAATTTTCTGGCACTACAAAAAATAAAAAACAATAAGAATAATTTTAGCTAATATAACATAATAATATATCCTTATAATTCAAAGAAATTAATACAAGTAAACATATTGATAAACACATTCTGATTAACAATATTGATGAGACGTAAGTAACAGTAACATAACAGTCAAATGTGAGTGACAGCCCTTTAATTCGAAATGTTATCCTTACATGTATTTGGAAGATTGATTGCTAAGGAGGTGAAAAAATAAAAAGAAATCAAGAAGGTAAGATGGCTTTTTGATTGTAAAGGTTCGGAAAAGGAATGCACCTGGGAAATATTGCCACCGAAAATCTGGATAGAGCCACTTCAACTTAACATACCAACTGGAAACGTGGGAGCGCCTGGAGACCCCAAAGATGAATCGAATGAAACAACTCATTAATCTTTTCAATCTGATCTCATGCCCACTAGTCTGCCGTATACAAGGCAGCCATAATCGAAGTGTGAAAACTAGTAGCCTTGGAGCCAGGGCCCAAAAATAGACCTGATCGCAGGCGAAAGTTTGATTGTAAATTACGAAAGTGTATGTTATTCGGAGTAAAATGAACCTTGTTTGCCGTTCCAGAGTCGCTGCTTTAAAAAATGGCGGCTGATTTAAAGAATATTAGGCCAATAATTTGAGGATCTAAATGGGAAATCCATTGCGAAAAATGTGAGAAAAGTTTTTATTTTTTTAACTTGTATAAATGGGTTTGGACCACCAAGGGAAAACTTTTTACAGCCAAAGAAGTCAATTTTTTTTTTGTTTTTTCACTTATAACTCCTAAACGATGCATCAAATCGAAAAATGTATTCTTTAATATTAAAGTAAATTAAATTTTGCGTCAAATGAGTACATAAACTTCATAATTTGGTTACGCGGTAAGGTATAAAAGCACAGTCACTAACGCTGATTTTTACCACATTTGTCAAAAACTGAGAAAAATTCCTAACAATGGTCCTGTAACTTGGTAATGAGATCCCTTAGAGGAAAATCCCACAAAATCAAAGTTGTAGAGCATCAAATTTTGTGTAAACGGAGTACCAACTAATTTAATGTAGGTCACTTATTGCGAACAAAATCGGTAATCTCCTGATGGTTAGAAATTAAGGTACTGAAGGTAAACGTGATTTTCAATATTTCAGTGGTATAGGTGTCTGTTGTACTGAGTTATTTTTGTTAAGAGTCTGTTATATCCAGTTTAACTCCCTTTTCCACCTCTCAACAGCTCAACACCGCTCAAGGATTATGGTAAAACATGTGTCGACAGAGATATGGAAACGAATAGGTAGTCCGTTGAGTTAGAGTAGGGGATGGTATAGAGTGGAATTAATAAGATCCTTGGAGCCAGTGAGAATGGCTTTAGTCTTCTCAATATTCAAGTTTAAATCATTATTCGCTGTCCAAATAGTAATACTGTTTATGTCTTCTTGTAGTTTTCGGATCGCCTCAAGCATCTCAGTAGTATAAAGTGAAAAGTAGATTTGAAGGTCGTCAGTGGTAATATGGAATCGGGAAGTTCGTTATATATGAATATATGAAGAAAAGAGGTGGAGAGAGCGAAAATCTCTGAGGAACACCACGAATTAGTGAGAGGGGAAAGGAAGGAGTTTTATTGGGAATAATGACTGTTTGTGATCTGTGATACAACAAGGAATGGAACCACTTTAGGACGCTATTTGGTATGGAAAGATTTTGGAATTTGGAGAGAAGGATTTCATGATTAACGGAATCAAACGCTTCAAAAAAGTCAATACTATTAGTGAAGTAAAGTTCATTTATTTTTTAATTGCAATAAAATTTTCTTCAAATATTTAAATATATTTGTTAAACAGTTGTAATATCTACTATATACTATGAACATATAGGGATCTCATAAGAGCTATTAATAGATGAATATTGAGGAAAAAATTTACATTTTTCTATTGCAATGAAAATTCTTTTTTAAGGGTTTTAGAGGTTATGGCAAAACGAATGCCATCTTTATTTTGTAAAGATTTTATGTGTATAATATGCTCAATACATTTTTTATTCTTATTTTCGAATCGAATCACGATAAAATGTCATATTTTGATAATACAACCTGACTTTTGTAACCCACCAAGATTAGAAAAAATTATATATTTGGCATACCCTTAAATACATAACCTTTTCATGACCTTAAATACGAGTTTTCATAGCAATCGAAAAACACAAATTTTTTGCTCATAATTTCAACCTCAGATTTTTTTTCCAAAAATCACAGAAGTTGTAATAACTTCGACATGGCTCTAATCGTTCGTACGAAAATTAGCATTTAGGGCCTTATAATATACACGAAATGGCACAAACCAGACGTCGTAAATAAATTAGACTTGGAGATAGAAAACGTTTGAAGAGTTTTTCTTTATTTTTTTCTTGTAAAGGCGTATTATAAATGAAAGTTAGCTTTCTAACGGATGCAGTAACGTTAACTTAGCAGAAATTTTAGGAGTTATGAATATTTTAGTAAAAGTTATGAAAAAAAAATACTTCCTGAAAATTAAGTCCAAAAATTAATACTTTTTTATTTCAAAACCAACTCGTATTTGAGAGTTTTAGTGGATACTAAAAACGAATCTGAATCGCTTTTACATAACAAAAATTTACTTGGCCTGCTTTACTAGAAGCGTCTTTCGATTTTTGTAATTTATTTGCACGTTAGAATTCGTTTAAAGCAATTAGCAAAAGTGTTTTCTTATTTCAAAATAAACAAAAAAATCGATTGATAAACAATAACCGAAAAATTCAGGCAAAGCAAACTTAGGAAACAATATAAAAGAATTATAATTTTTGTAAAAATATTTTTATCGGCTGTTAAAGCAGACCCTACACGGTAATTCATGAATGAACGTCACAAGAAGTGCCAAGATTGCCCGCGATCGCTTTGATCATGAAGACCCTTACACGTTCAATCATTACTTATCGTTGCTGATACCAATTTAGCTCAGTTTTACAAAGAAACAGCATAGATATGCTTATTTGGACATTGTCATTTATAATATTGGGCATAAAGAGAAAAACGGAGATATAATAATTACTTCCTATTGCCTGAAAATCGTTTAGAGTAAAGTTAGAAAAATATAAGTCAACTACATACAAAAATCTAGGAAAATTATTACGAAAATAATCAATTTGTTAAGAAAAATGGAAAAATTAATGGCAAATAAACACAACAGTTAAAGATTTTTTTTCTATAAGTAAATTGTGAAGTTTCCACTTTTTTTCTCTTCAATTTATTTCCTACTTGACTATTTAAAGAAAAAATAGTTGAAAATGGTTAATAATAACATAGACTAGGGATATAAACAACTATTTACTTAATAACGAGACCTAGATAAACTAACCTACCTAGTAGTAGTCTCATAGAAAATCGTTTTGACAAAAGTTAGTAAAATATAAGTCTACTACTTACAAAAATTAAGGAAAGGTATTGCGAAAATAATAAATTTGTTGAGGAAAATGGGAAAAGAACTGATAAATATACACAACGTTAAAGTTTTTTTTTCTAAAGTAAATTGTGAAGTTTCCTCATTTTTTTTTTATTTGTTGCCCACTTGACTATTTAAAAGAAATAGTTGAAGATGGTTTTAAATTATAAACAAGGGATATGAAAAATTATTTAACTATTTACATATAAAGAAAATCAGAAATTTATAATGGTTGTGAGGCCTAGTCAACCTATCCAGTATGGTTAGTCTCCCCACTACTTTTACCTCAGTCCCCCCTCCACTTCTCGTGAATGAACCACCTTTGATTTCCGGATGTTCGGAAATCCGCAGCTCATCACCATCAGTACTTCATTCACTACCTTAAACGACAATTCGGAACATCATAAGTGCAATTCCGATTGACCGTGTAGGGTCCCCTTTAGGGCGCTTTGGCAAGAATCCTAGTGGAATCAAATATTGGTGGAACAGGGGTCAAATATTTTTCGCCCTAGTATCAAAACTATACTTACATACATTTTACGCTGAACTTATGTTTTCATCAAGAAGAGTGCCACATTATGAAAATTTTCATTTTATTTTATGTTTGTGTCTTCTATTCACCTATATTCCTTTAAGATAAATTTGAGATTTTTAGTTTTAATATTTATCATAATCATTCCGTTAAATCGTTATTTAGCACAATGTAATTGTGTACACTAAACTAGCTTATTTTATAATTCATCCCAAATTATTCGAACTTCAATGGTTTAGTATTTGATGACCTTCACAGAACTAATAAGTTTTCAGTTCACATTAAAACAGACAATCTAGATTAATTATTAGTGTTATCTTCTTACTTAACTGCTATTGAGATAAATATCCAGAAGATATTAAATTATTTATAAATAATCATTATATTCACTTTTCAAAGGTTTGCAAGCAAATCTAATAAAAATATGATTTTATTTATAGTTAAAATTTTGAAACAAAACAGTTCTTCAAAATATAAAGTTAAAATTATTTAATTTTCAGTCAGATGACCAAAGAAAATAAGTTAACAATTATTGTTTAATTTGACTAGACAGAAAATAAATTTTAAAAATTTGAATTTACTAAATCAATTATTTTCTTATTTATATAATAATGTATTTATATAATGTAAATGGTTGACTGTCGTGAATAATGAAGAGAAGAATAGTTGGGGTGATCACTCAAATAAGAAGGCAAAAATAAATGATAATATTTATTTTGACATTAGCCGACGTTTCGACCTTAAGTTCAGGCCATCATCAGGGCTGACTGCAAGATGTAAATCCAAGCATTGCTAAACTTCAGGTCGAAACGTCGGCTAATGTCAAAATAAATATTATCATTTATTTTTGCCTTCTTATTTGACTGATCACCCCAATTATTCTCCTCTTCATTATTTTATTATTTAGAAATAGATATAACCGTGAAAAAACTAATTTTCAGTTCATAAAATCAAAAGATTTGACTAATAAACCATTTGACAAATTTGTATTACTATAATTAAATCACCAAACTGTTTCAGAAAATATTCAATCATTTTCAGTGTCTTAACTTTTCAGAACTTCACTCTTAAAAGCCAAATTAATTTAATCATATATTATTTAAAACCAATTTTATAGTACAGTAACCTTAAGAAAACTATACAATTATCATTCTAGCTTCAAAAATATGACATCTTAACTAACTACGAGATAATACATAGCTGACAAACTTGACAAGAATACAAACTGTTCCAGCTATCTCATAGTAGAAAAGTCAATGTGCTAAATTTATACTTGATATTTTTAAATGCGATAGCTCATAAGTTGTATAATTTAAGATAATAAAAACTATTCCTTTAACTGTGGCTTGATATAACAGGATTGAAGATTAATTTTACAAAAAACTATATTATCTTCAATTCAAAATCCACGAAAAAACTATTATGACTCGTAATAAATAAAATTAAATACACTTACTCAATAATAATTTTTCACTCAACCTATGATTCCTTTTATGTCTGAACAAATCAAAACTACCATCTTTATATCATCAAAAAAAAACCAATATCACATCATTCTAGAAACATCTCAAAAGTCAGAAAAAAATACGTAGGCTTCCTTCAAAAGGATGGCCAACATAATATATTTAGCACCCTAGTAACAAATGTGAAAAATCACATTTTGACACACCTTGTGTTAAAATGTCAAATCTTAATGGTGACCAGAAGACTGAATCAGTAATGTAATTTCTACAAATGTACTTATGTAATGTATCTTCATTAGATATGTGTATATTGTAGTAATGTTAATCTTAATCGAAAGTTTATATTGGACAAAGATTCATATTCATTACTTTAACATGTAACTGACGATATGTCTCTAAAATGATGTACTGATATATATTTTCTTGAACTGTATAAAGAATTTAGTATTATTTGTTCAGACTTACAAGGCACCATATTTTAAGGGAGAAATTGTTATTGAGAGTATATTGAAAACACTTTATAATTATTATGAATCATAATAGTTTTTTGTGGATTTTTAAGTTGAAGATAATATTTTTTTACTATCTTAGTTTAAAAAAAACATTAACATAACATTATCAAAAAACAGAATGTTATTGATAAAATGTTGAATTTTGTATTAAATCCATAATTTAAACAGTTGGCATTGATAAAATATACCATGGTTAAATAATAAACAAAAAATATCTGTACTGAACAATATATTTCATTATAAAAGTACATCATAAATCCACAACAATGGTTAAAACAGCTTTTACTTACAACTAAATCTAAAAAAGAGAATCACATAATAATATTAGTACTCTTATCAATATTTATTTAACCCAAATAACCTAACTTCATGGAACTGAGGAAGTTTAGGAAGTGTAACAAACACCAGACTAACGAAGTTCACAGCAAAATGATTTGGATCATTTTTTGTGTAAAAGCATGTAAGGAAGAACCTAAAAAAAAAAAACATTGTAAAAACTTTGTAATAACATAAAAAATATATAACAGTTTATTGATGATGTCATTAAGTGACATTCCAGAACCTCATATAATAAAGAAGTTGGATGAATTTTTTGTATGTGAAATTAGAAAACTGTGCATTTAGTATAACTATGTCAAAATCCACAAAACTATATTTGAAAGTTAATACATACTAAAAATGTACTTAGTGACTATCTATAATAAACTAACAATATATCCTTAAAATTTTATGGGTAAAGCTTAAAAATAAATAAAGAATTTGAACATACTGTGACTGAAGTGTAAAGAAGAATGGGCCTAACTCAAAGAGAGCATTATATTTTGGTATCTTGGCTAAGCAAATGATGCAACTTGAATGCAAGCAGAAGTATTTAGCATGAAGTTAAAAAACTTAAGCAATCAATTTACAAATATTTTGGTACATTTTATAAATGCAAAGAATATGACTAAATTTTCAAAGTTATTATAAAATATAAATGAAAAAATTGTTTTATTAAATAATAAGATGATATAAATGAACAAATATATCATCTTACTTTTAAGATTTATGTTTAAGAAAATGAGGTCACAAACCAAAATTGAATTTAACAATTCAATACAATTGTTATACATTTATTGTTGCTTGTTAGTCCATATCTATCTAAATATTGTTAAATGGTTATTTAACATTATATAGATAAATATGGACTAACAAGCAACAATAAATGCAGTATGAAACCAGTACACGTTGCTCACAAGTTACTCGGAGTTTGCATTTGATTTATTTTTTCTCGCCAGAAATAATTTTACTTTATTTTTTTTTATCTTCAGGTTTTTTTACTTTAATATAAACGTAGCTTTTTTTATTTTTTTATTTATACTGAAGCTTTTTTTATTTTTTTATACATTTATTTTTGCCAGAAATATTTTTACTTTATTTTTTTTTATCTTCATGTTTTTTTATTTTCATATGAATGTAACTTTTTTATTTTTTTATTTATATTGAAGCTTTTTATTATTTTTGTATACATTTATTTTCGCCAGAAATATGTTTACTTTATTTTTTTTATCTTCAGGTTTTTTTATTTTTATAGAAATGTATCTTTTTTAATTTTTTTATTTTTATCGAAGCTTTTTTTATTTTTGTATAATTTTATTCTCGACAGAAATAATTTGATTTTAATCTTTTTTACTTTTAGCACTCTTTATTCTTGTATAAATTATTTACAACTTTATTTGGTTATTTACCAAAATGTATCAATGTATTTAAAACAAGGGGATATTTATATTTTACAGACAGGGGAATTTATATGCTATAAATTATATTTAACAGAATATTTATTTCGAAATATTGGAAATTCATTACTTTCATCTCAACTTTTATTTTATGTATGCAATTTTTTAATATTTTTTATTATTATTTTTAAACGGAGTATTTGTTTAAAAAAAAATGTTATATCCTATTCTTTATCTTCGATCCTTTTCACCAAACCTCTGCTTCCCAACTCTACTATAATGACTAATATTCTGAATTCCTGTCACATCAACGCCCAATCCCTTATTGCACACTACGATGAATTCCAGAAATATTTCCTTGACAATTTTTACCATATAATAGCAATATCTGAAACCTGGCTAAAACCTTTTATCCCATCCTCCCAGATTTCCTTACCAGATTACTCGTTCCTACGTCACGATAGATCGCATCGCACGGGAGGTGGCGTCGGATTTTATATCCATGACAGCCTTAAGGCCAAAATCCTTCTACAGTCTCCTTATCATGATTTTCCTCACATAGAATACATGTTCGTTGAAATCACCTCGCTTTCCTCTCCTCTGTTGTATGCCGTAATTTACCGCCCTCCTCGTGTTCCATTTGACAACCTCTTTGAATCTTCCCTCATTAACCTGGTCTCCAACTACACCAATATTATTATTACCGGTGATTTTAACGTGAACATGCTTTCACAATCTCCCAAAAAATTTTTCCTTACCGACCTGTTGTTTTCCCTTAATCTTCATCTTGTTCCTTATTCTCCTACCCACCACACGCAATTTTCCGATATTTGGTTAGATCTTTATATCTCTGACTCCCCCATCAAAATCCTTTCTACTTCTCAACACCCAGTTCCATTTCTTTCATCACATGACCTGATCCAAATTACATACGACCTACCCGTAAAATCCTTCACTCCAAAATAGTTTCATACCGCAATTTAAACCTTCTTTCCTATGAATCCCTTCAACCAGACCTTAATTCTCAGCAATGGGACACCATATATTCCTACAACTCCATTGATCCTATGGTATCCACCCTGACCTCAAACCTACAATCTATATTAGAAATCCACGCTCCTCTGAAAACCAAAACCTTACGCCGTCCCACTGCGCCTTGGCTGACCCGTGAGATAAAGGAAATGATGAGGGGAAGAGATGCAGCAAGGCGCAAATACCGTCGAACCCGTCTAGCTGTGGATTATGTGTCTTTCAAGGCGCTTCGCAATGGGACCCAATCCGCAGTCCGTCTTGCTAAAACCACTTACTTCCATAATGCCCTGTCCAATGCTCCCGACCCCAAATCTAAATGGAAAATACTCCGCAACCTATCCCTACCAGAGTCCATTAATCGTAGTTCCTTCGATCTTTCTCCAGATGATCTCAATAACCATTTCTTATCCTTTACTCACTCTTCCTCTCATACTTTCGACATTAAACATCACAAATTCAATCCTGAAGACTTCTTTTTCTCACACGTGTCCTATGATGAATTACTTTCCACCGTCCTAAAATCCCACACCAATGATTATGGTCCCGACAATATTCCTGTAAAACTAATAACATCCACCCTTCCTGACCTTATTCCTGTTCTTTATCATATCTACAATTTTTCACTGCAGAACTCCATATTCCCATCCTCCTGGAAAACCGCCCTAGTCCGACCTTTGAATAAAATTGCCAATCCTACATCACTGCACGACTTCCATCCTATTTCTCTCCTATCCAACCTCTCAAAGCCGCTAGAACGCCTTGTCCAAAATCAGCTCTCAAACTTCCTAGAGGAACGTTCCTTTATCAACCCATGCCAATCTGGCTTCCGACCCGGCTATTCAACGCAATCTGCTCTCCTTAAAATAACCCATGACCTACAAAACTCCATTGAACACCAAAACCTTACTATCCTCATCCTTCTAGATTTTTCCAAAACTTTTGATACAGTTGACCATAACATCCTTCTTACCAAATTGCAAAACCTTCCACTATCCAACAGTGGCCTGCATTGGTTCAAATCCTTCCTTTCCAATCGATCCCAGTATGTAGTAGTCCCTGATCAACCTCCTTCAAACACACTTCCCCTCTCCTGTGGTGTCCCTCAGGGTTCCTCTCTCTCTCCTACTCTGTTTGCTATTTACATCAATGATCTTCCCGTCCAGATGCGTCACTCCCGATACCACATCTATGCAGATGATTTCCAAATATACCTTTCCTTTCCGCCCTCCAACCTATTATCTGCCACAGAAAAACTTCAAGAAGACTTAAATGGAATTTGTGACTGGGCAAGAACAAACAAGCTGAAGTTGAATGCGGATAAGACAAAGGCAATCTTAATAGGCTCCAATCACCTCCTTAAAACTGTCCCTACTATTCCAACTCTGTTCCTACATAATAACCCCATCAAATTTCACCCCACCATCAAAAATCTTGGAATAACCATTGATCAAACGCTTTCTTGGAAGAATCATATATCCAATATTTCCCGCCGTACCATTTCCATCCTAAAACGTCTTAACTACTCCCGTCACCTATTTCCTTTTGAAACCCGTAGGCTCCTAGTCACTTCCTTAATTTTTCCCCACTTTGACTATTGCTGTACGGTATATGGGGGCCTCTCTGGGGATCTCGAGGCGAAACTAAAACGTTTGATAAATTGCTTTGTACGATTCATCTTCGGGATCCCAAGGGACGCCTCTGTTTCCCATCTTTACACAGAGTTAAATTGGCTTTATCCTTCCTACCGTCGTAAGTATTTCCTGGCATCCTTCCTCTTTCAAATCATTCAATCCCACCGTCCCTCATACATCTCCGAGCTCCTTCAATTCAAATCCTCTGTTCGTTCCCGGTCTTCTGATTTATACATAAGGGCCCACCGAACCGCTGCTTTCGACAAATCGTTCATTATCCGATCCTCATCTCTATGGAACTCCATCCCTTCCCATATCCGTCAATCTAATACCCTTCCTACCTTTAAATCCCGCCTGTTCAATCATTTCTTATCCATCCAGTCCCCATAAAATCGTAAATAGATACTACTGAAAATATGTACATAAGTTATTAGTTCGTTCTTCATTATTTGTTCTCCAATTTTTGTTTATCTATTTTTTTTTTTCTCTTTTATTATCAACTGATCAAAATTGGAAAGCAACTTATATGTATATGTGTATATTATATATATATATTATTTTTTTAACCAAGACTGTTCAATTACTCTGTATTTTTATTTATATATCTCTGAGGCTCCTTAGCCCTCATTTCTGTCTTCCTGTATTATTCTAAAGGGACTTGTCCCAGAATAAATAAAGTATTATTATTATTATTATTTTATTTGTCAACACTTTTACAAAAGGTTTTTTTTGTTTACTTGAGAGGGGGAGAATCAACTCCAACCACCTCAGGTATGTGGTATGTAGTAATTTTAATTACTATTGAATGTTGAGAAAGCTTCTTACAATTCTGGCAGTATTCAGCAGCACCGCTTTCTGAGCTTCCTTTATTACATGAGTTGGGAGGCCCAGCCTGTCAGTAGCTTCCACGGTAGACACCGGTACCAGGCCATTGCTGGAGATCACAATGCCCCTAACCGTTACTTTATTAAGTTTATACAAACTTTTTAACTCAGCTGCTAGACCTTGATATTTCCGAATTTTTTCTGCACAGACTGAGTTAATGTTTCCGTCATTTGGCACAGCGATATCTATAATTTCAGCCACCTTAATAT